TTAGACTTTGAAATCCAATGTTTTTCTAGTGGTGGAGTTTTACTGAGCACACATGCTCTTTTTCAGCAGCTTTCTTTTGCTATGTATTGACATTTATTTTCAGTACTTCCTCTCCTTTTCATCACCTAACAGCCAGGTGATCCTTGTATTAGAAATAGGGTGACAAAGAGCAATATGAAACACAAAGATATCCAAACAAAAGGCAGTCTTGTGGGGGGTTATGCTTGTGGTAATATTTCCATCTAAATGCAGATTTGATATAGCAGTGACATTGGGGGCACTTGCTCATTTAAATTCATTACCATTACTGAAGAGAGTGACTTTTTTCCCCACCAGGTCTCCTTCACAATGTAATTTTATGTTATGGTTGTCCCCCTCACCAGGAGGGTGAGGGAGAACCGAGGTGGGACTCAAGATGGCTGACCCAGGTGCTAGTACAAAAAAAAAAAAAAACAGGTTTAATGGAACAAAAACGCAAAGTAACATAACAGGGGCCGTGTACATATATAATCAAAGCAGGGCAGAGATGGTGGAGGAGACCCGGACGAACACGTAAACGGATAGCAGGAATCAGGAGAGCAGGAGGATGAGGACGGACAAGTGAAAAAAGGTAGCAAAACAAAACCCGAAAATCAACAGCACAGGGACTGTCAGCGTTGAATATCAGTACGTTTTGCAAAACGCATAAATAACATGATCAAGGCAAGCCAAAACGCAAAGTAACTGTCAGCGTAGCATCCTCACACACATATAGTTTATGCGTGTGGGTCTTTGGTTCTTGTACCATTGCTAACTCTGAGAGACGAGACAGTCCAAGTAACTTCAAAACAGTGCTGATTTATTCCATGAATACAGGTAAAATTAACATTACACACTCAGGTATCTTGCACCTCCAAACTGCACGCAGGCAGATGTAAGATGGAAGACCCTGAACCCACCAGGCCTATACATTTTATCACCTCGGTTGGGCTAGCCCCATACTACACAGAAACGTCAACCGAGACGTCTCTATTACCAGCTTTGCAGCTGGCCATAGCAGTAGTCAAAACATGAAGCAAATCAATGTGTGTGTGTGTCTGTTGATTAAGTGGTGTGTAGCTAAAAACATTCTCACGACCTCTAGTACATGTCGTGACTTAAACATAAGAACATATTATGGCTAAGGCTACAGTTATATACGTCATAATAATAATATTAAACACCCTGTCTGCTGACAGTCATCAGCTCTTCTCTCTAGTTATCCTTGACCAGATGTACCCTGTAGAAACTCATAAGCATGACTAAGCATTTAACAGTCTAACTAGACATCCTATCTCCACTAAACATTTCTAATACATAAAGTATCTATCCAATATCTATCTGACTAAAAATACCTAACATGCGGTTAAAACATAAAAAATTTGTCACATACTTTGGGTAATGCTCCAGCGACGGCAGAGCATCTGCCAGAGGTATAAATAAGGAGGAAGTCAATCAGCAGAATGCACCCCAGCTGTGTGCACCGACAAACGAATCACTAATTAGGAATGCAACACAGCTGAGGTGCGAATCCCGCAGGTCGAGAGAACAGAGGAGAGAGAGGCGGAGAGCGGCCCTGACATTTTAGGCTTTTCAACAAAGGAATGTACAATTCATTTAATTTGATTTAGTAGTGCAAATTGCTGCACCAACCGGGAAACAAAGAAACATTTTGGCCAAGTAAAGTGGGCAGAAAGAGTGAAACCCAGGGAGGTGTGTGTGAGAGAGAGAGCATGAATGCACCACCACCTCAGTCTTAACACATGCCCAGTTGTGAATCACGATGGTACATCTCTACTTTTTCCATCTCATCTCCTTGACTCATTTTCCACATCACATCACTCTAATTTCCCTCCAGCACATACCTCCAGATTTTTCACACTTTGACTTTTTGTTTGTGGTTTTCCTTCACTTGCCTCTTTCTACCACTCACAGTCCTGCACTGTGTTAAGCTGGAGTAAATTGTGTTTATTCATCTTTTCCATAGGGTTAAGCTTTCCCTCTGTCAGTATGACAGAAAAGTACATCACTGCTGCTATCAAGCAAACCAAATTCAAAAGTGAATTGATTTTCCGGCCCTGCGATGGACCGGCAACCTGTCCAGGGTGTACCCCGCCTTTCGCCCAATGCCAGCTGGAATTGGCTCCAGCCCCCCCATGACCCTGTTTGGGACTAAGCGGTATAGAAAATGAGAGAGAGAGAGAATTGATTTTCCTCTATGCCTACTCCTATCACAGAGCACATTGCTATGCTGGCCTTGTGAATCACAAATTGTATTGTGAGGTCAGTTTGTGGTGAGCAGTGTTGTGTAACTTAAAGTCTTATTAAACTGCAGTCACTAAAAGTATTTGGAGTGCGCTGTTGATAAAATGAATAATTTAGATCCAGCAAGATTAGAAACAATGCATCTACACTGACAAAATTATACGTAATTAACAAAATACTGAAATAAATAATGATTCTTTACAATGGACATGAGGGTAGTGTCAGCTGCTGTTAGCGACACACACTATTTACTATACTTAACTCTCTGCCTGAACGCCTCATGCATTTTGTTTCACAGGTCACCTCAATATACAGGCTAAACTCCTCTTGACTGCAAAATAAGAGGCCATTTCAGAACACAAACTGTGCTTGATGCTGCCATGCAGAGCAACATAAATCACTGGTGACAGGGTGAGACAAGTAATGCTTGCCTATGGTGATGTCACCAGGACAAGTGGAAAAGTGGGTGTTTATGTATGTTTATGTGTCCGTGGTGAGGGGAAAATGTGAGTGGAGGGCTGATGTTAAGCTATCAAGGAAGAGGCACTCAGCCTCTTAGCTTGAGCAAATGCAACAACAGCTGCCGGAATGAGCAATGCCATCTATTCACACATCTGCTATTTCTGTGCACTCACAGGCACATTTCCCATCCAGTAAGGATGAAAAATGGTGGCTTCAAAGCTGTGTGCGTGTTTGTGTGTGTGTGTGCAAATGAGAGATGAAATGTTTTCACTTGTGTTTTCATTTCAGGCCACCTGCACACTCAAAGTCCATACACCTCTGTTGGTAAAATTCAATGGCAATCAAAGATGAGGCAGCTGATCCAAAGTTGAATCTGAATCATGAAGTGGCCGAGGGAAATATCAAACACACAATGGATCTTTATACTGATACTGTATATAAAATGAAACAAAAATAAGATTACCAGATGAAACAGTGATGCATGAGAAGGGGAACTGGGTTGAAATGCTCACGTGAAAGCTGGCAGGTAGTCGTATTGCAGAGGAGAGAGGCGGGTAAAGAGAATGGCAGTAGATGGGGAAATAAAATGGCAGAGCAGAAAGGACGGAGAGGTTGAGGAACTTGCACAGCGTTGTGCCTCTGACTGTAGTGTTTCACCAACTGGAGATTTGAGGGGCCACCCCTGTAGAGTGTTGAGCTTCAACATGCATACACATTAAGAGCTGATGTACCAGAGTCAAATTCCTTGTGTGTCCGACACACCTGGCCAATAAGGCAGATTCTGATTCTAATGCATCCAGTCAAACTGGAGCAAACCAGGACAGAAAATGTGTGGTGGAAACTGACATTGATGAAAATAAATCAATAGGCATATTTTCTCTACTGCAAAACCACACTGTCTGTTCCACCCACTTAGGCAGTGCTTTTCTTTCATGTTTTTTGCTGTCTTCTCATTGGTCTTCTTCCTATGTACCTACAGTATTTTTTAACAGCTTGACACTGGATTTCTTCCACCTGACTGATATACATATACAACAACCGACCTTGACTTTAGCTTGACTAAGAGGTGGTTAGCTGGTTGTAATATAGATCCATACACTGATGTTCAGCCTCGGGGAAAATTAGATTAGACATATCAGACTTGTTTTTGCCAGTGGTCCCAGTAGCAACTAGAAATTGAATAGTGATGAATGAGCTACAAAAATAGCTAGAAGAGTCAAATTAGGGCTAAGGCTTTACAGGTAAACCTCATTCATACATTGTGCACACTAGAGGGGATAACCTGTAGTTCTCTTTTGTAAGTTAATAGAATTCACATTTCTCTCTACAGTGTAAATGGGCCACATCTGTCTTTTTAGGTAAGGTAACACAGAATTAGAGAATAATAATAACAATGTATGATATACAGTAACTACCAGTGTAAAATAATTTTTACACAAGTTTGGTGACAAGACAACAATGACAAATGCAGCAGAATACTGCAGGATTTTGCTGCTACCCGAGCTCCACACTGAATGTAGTATTTCTCTCTTTTATCTGTTATTTTAATGAAAGTAAGACTTGTATCTCCATGGTGGTGGTGGTGGTGATGCTTTAAGCTGCAGGGATGTGGTTGATATTGATCTCATAATGCATATCCAGGTTTGATGTATGGCATATGGATGGACTTTTGATATCTTCCCTGCCTCCCATTGTTCAGGTAGCACAGTAATAGTTTGCTGGATCAATGACCAGAAATCAGAGACACACACTGAGCCTCTGTTCTTTCCCTTTTACTCCTCACCTACGAGGATCTGATGAAATGTATATTATATATGTATAATTGCACACTGACTGTTGCACATACAGCTGATGTAGCTTATATTTCTGGTATATTTTTTATATGTTTTTAAATTTGCCCTTATTTTGTATTATTATTTATCTATTTTTACTTAGACTTTATATTGTTTGGAATTAATTGTGGACAAGAGAGGAAGAATTTCATTGTACAAGGAAACATGTTTCCTTGCTGTGCATATGACACTGAACACTTTGAACCTTTGAACTTTGAAAATAAAAAAATCTGGAGAGGAAGTGCATGTTTTTTTTTTAACTATGAGGAATTAAATGACATCTTTCAGTGTAATGACCAAACCACATCCTGTGGCTTCATTTTCAAGACAGTGCCTCTTCTCTTCCCTTCCCTTCCCTTCCCTTCCCTCAACCTCGCCGCCCTGTCCCATCTCTTCCCTTCCACTCTACTCTACTCTCATCAGGTGTAACCAGTGCAGGAACTTCGGTAAATATGCTGAAGGTGACCCATCAGACCATTAGTGAGGAGCTGTCCAAGACTGTTCTCCTGCCCTGCCTCTTCACCCTCCGTCCCAATGCCAGTTCATCCCATGAGCGCCCCAGGATCAAGTGGACCAAGGTTTGGGGCCAGAGAGGCTCTAATGGCCTGCAGAAGGAGCAGTCGGTCCTGGTGGCCAAAGACAATGTAGTCAAGGTACTGAAGGGGACTACTGTTTAGATGAGATTAGATTAGATTCAACTTTATTGTCATTACACATGTACAAGTACAAGGCAACGAAATACAGTTTAGCATCTAACCAGAAGTGCAATAACGGCAGTGCATAGTGCGCAGTATCTTTTTAGTGTTTGGTGTCACATTTTTGGAGAAATTGTGTGTGGCTTGGTGGTGGTGTTCATTTTCATCATTCCTTTTTTCTCTCTCGCCTCCCTTCTCAGGTGAAGAAGGCCTTCCAGGGCCGTGTAACACTGCCTGGTTACAGTGTGAACCGCTACAATGCCAGTCTTTCTCTGACTGGGCTACGTTCCAGTGATTCTGGTCTATATCGCTGTGAGGTTGTGGTGGGCATCAATGATGAGCAGGACACAGTTCCCCTGGAAGTCACAGGTAATTACAAGCTGACAAACTTTAAGAGGGCAGCCATTTTGAATTTGAGTCACAGGTGTGATTGGAAATTTTATTCTAGCTTAGAGCAAGCCTAGTGGTGTGCTAGTCTTGTATACTAAAGTTAGCATTGCACAGACTTGGACAGATATTTAACATAATGCATAAAAAAACAAATTGAGAGCATTTTGAGTTTACATTTTAAAGAACTAGAGAGCTGAAACTAAAACTGGGTTTTGCTCCAGAAAAGAACTTCATTCAAAATCTCACTGACAAGTATTACATCGCTAGTAACAGTAGATGTTTTTAGACAGCAATTTACAATGAGATTGTTGAAAGAATGACTTCAGGAGAGTGTGTTTTATGGATATGGTGAAACCATGTTGCATTTTGATGGCAGAAGTACTTGTTGATCAACTTTGTTAAGATTACAAAGATTTCATCTTTTAACAGCCAAGTGCTAGGTGAATTGCCTTAGAATATGGAAAGAAGTCCAAGTGCTAGGTGAATTGCCTTAGAATATGAAAAGAAGTCCTGAGGGATACAAGGCTAGAGAGGCTATCATGACTTCACTATATTCTCCATATCTAGTTGACAAGCTGCTGCAAGTTAGTACACTCATTACAGCCCCAGGAGTGGTTGTTTAGAACTGCTAACAATTTAAGATACCTGAAAAATAATTAAGCATGCTCACAAGTTTTTGCTTTGTGCTATATATCACTAGATGGGTCCTGTTTCACATCTCTGGAGCAGCATTTATCCTCAAATAGCTGAGTAGTTAGTATAGCTACAGTCAAACTTGTGAAAAGAGAGGTGCTTTTTAAACACAAATGTGACCACTTACACTATTGTAAGATTTGAATCCTATAGGCTTCAGTTACTTTATGAGCTTTAGTTATTTTTATTAACTTTAGTTTCCTTTAGTTACCTTTCATAATTTTATTTTCCTTTAGTACTTTTCATACCTTTATTTTCCTTGCTTATGTTGTATTCCGGTTCTTTGTACCATGCTAACTCTGAGAGACGAGGCAGTCCAAGTAGCTTCAAAACAGTGCTGATTTATTCCATGAACACAGGTAAAAATTAACATTACACGCTCAGGTATCTTGCACCTCCAACATGCACGCAGGCAGCTGAAGGATGAAAGACCCCGAACCCAACAGGCCTGTACATTATATCACTTTGGGCTAATCCCATACTACACAGGAACGTCAAACCGTGACGTCTCCCGGTGCCAGCTTTGCAGCTGACCAGAGCAGTAGTCAAAACATGAAGAAAATCAATGTGTGATTGTCCGTTGATTGTGTGATGTGTATCTAAGACATTCTGACACGACATCTAGTGACACGTCATGACATTAAGCTTAAGAAGATATTATGATTACGATTATGATTAAACACGTCATACAGTAATCAACTTTCTATCTAGTTATCCTTGAGCATAAACAACCTGGAGTCCCCCATGGGAATGACTAAGCATTTTAACAGCCTAAGCTAGACATCCTGTCTACACTAAACATCCCTAATACAAGTACCTAACCAATATCTATCTGACTAATATAGGCTCTATTTGTATTATAAAGCCCTTCCGGTTCTTTCAAACCAGGAACTCACAAAGACGAATTAGACCACTTAGATTTTATAAAAAAAATAATCGTGCTGGTTTATTCAGAGGATCACAGGTAAAATTATCATTACACGTCCAGATCTCTCCCACCACCAAACCTGTGCGCAGGCAGCTTGGAAGTTCCAGGATTCATTGTTAGCTACCGACCTGAAAATCACAACACTCACACACCTGGCTTGGCTTCTAGCACATGGTCAGCAAGTCACGCCAAGAGCCTATAAAATTAGGATACATGTAAGTCCAACCTCTGTGCGGGGTGGACTCTGCCCAAGAAGATAAATGTAACCAGAAACAATGACTTTTTGGGAAGTTTTCCTGCAGAATTTCTGTATCTCATAGCCCAGCACTATAGCTTTACCATGTGACCACACTTTGATTAACTTTCTGTTGATTTTATACAGTCCTCTTATGTCTTCTCTTCTTGCACTTTCAACAAAAGAACTGGGGTTTTCTAACAGTACTATAAAAGATATCATTGAAATTTAGACTAAACTGCAAAGTTTTACCACTATTAATCAAGAAAGGGAACACAAAAATTATTTGGGGAGGTGCTAGCCAAACCTTTCAACATGTGGCCTGAGATATAAGGATGGCAACAATGACCAAGATATGTTCTGAGTTAATGAGAGGTTAACTTAGTTTCTGTCATTAATTTTGACTACAAAAAGTAACACCTGGCCATAGCTTTGTTCAGTTTAAATCTGATGTAAATTGTAAGTGTAGCATCCCCAGCCAATTGATATGCGTGCTCTCTTTTACTGATGGTTCATTTGTACTTTATTTGCTCCTTGAAATCCTTTCATTACACCTTGAACACACCGTAAGAGCTATGAAACAAAAATAAAGCTAGTTAGCACCCAAAATTACAGATAAATATTTAGCAAAATGCGATAAAATAAACACAGTGTTCAGCAATAACACAAACGGTTAAATCACACATAAACGTAGCTTAGCGTCGCATAGCGTAAAGCTAACATTAGCTCCTTTGGCTAACCCAATAGGCAAATTAACAACCCAAAAGGAATCATTGTACCCTATGAACTAAACATTACGAACCTTGTGCCTATATTTGCTGGATGCTAAGCCAAAAATAAAAACTGTATATTACTTTCTTATCCTCTGTTTTCATTGACTATTTATTCCTGTTTTCTCCATTCACTTCCTGTACTTCTTCTTCGTTGGTCTTAACTTCCTGTTTTATTTCTTCCTTCAAAATAAAATACTCCGTAGTAATAAACGTATTTTATAGAACAAGCAATGAAACTAAATTGTATTAATAAATACTATAAACGGTTAATAAAAATGGTTATTTACAATAAGCTTTAATGTGATTGGACATTCACAGTAAAGCATTTTTAGAATATAGGGAGAAAATAGAGCAGGAATTACTTCAAAAGCCTGATTTCTGTGATTCAGTATATCTTAACAAATTGTGTGGATGCTGATAAGCATCCACACTGTTTTCCTGTTCTTCATTTATTATTATGTGGATGCTGTAGCAGCAGCATCCACATTCTTGTTATCCTGTTCTTTATTATTATTGTGTGGATGCTGTAGATGATTTTATCATGTCAATCAAAAACAGTGGAGAATTATAAACTGTTTTGGAGGACTGGCTTGAACTTCCAACATCCCAGGGACAGGGTCCCAGTTTACCTAGATATCAGAGACAAATCATCCAATCAGAGGGCGCATAAGGCCCCCTTTTGGAATCTCAGTACAATGTAAGCATGTCTTGACTGCATTGCCAAAAGCATCTGTCCACCTGCCTTCTCATGCAAATGAACATGAGTCACAACCAATTCTCAGCCCATAGGGCCCAAATTGATGTTGCCCCACCCTCTGTAGCTGTAACAGCTTCAACTCCCCTGGGAAGGCTGTCCACAGAGTCCAGGAGTGTATCAATGGGAAATTTTGACCATTTCTCTAGAAGCACACCTGTGAGGTTAGGACTTTATGCAGACCAGTTGAATTCTTCCACATCAACCTCACTCCCTTGGGAGCATGAGACTGTCCAAAATGTCCTGGTATGCTGAAGCTCCTTACACTGGACCAAAGGGGCCAAGCCCAGTTCCTGAAAAGGAACTTCCCCTCATAGTCCGACATTCTGCATCGCACTTGGTGGTGTCAGGCTTGGAAGTTGCTGCTCAACTTTGGAGCCCCATTTAATGAAACTCTCCATGCCCTGTGGTGGGGCCACTCTGAGGGCCACACGAAGTGTCAGGACTGGACTGGATCTAGAGCCATTCTGTTAACTTTTATTGTGATTTTATTTTGCCATGCAAAGTATTTTGGTCAGCTGGATGCTGCCCCTAAAGTGCTATATAACTAAACCTGACTCGACTTGTTAATTTTTACAGGTGGGTTTTGTCCAAACAGTTCCTAGCTGGTTTTCTGATCCTCCTCTGTCTGTCCCTGCATATTTGATGTCACCCTATGCTCCTATTGGCCAATGGTTTCTTCACTGAGTTTGAACGACTCCCCTTTGTAGTCAGACCTGCTGCCTCAGAGAGCGGTGATGTGTAGCTAACTGTCCTTTACCTATTTTATGAGGATAAAGGTTTTACCAGCTTGCAGTGGGACAGATGATTCCAGGATGTCCTCTCAGCTATCTTTACTGCTGTAGGTGTGGTGAGCAGTACCTGGTATGGACCTTTCCACCTTGCACTGGACCATTTTATTCCTTTTAATCACCTTCAGTAGCACCCAATCTCCAGGTTTCACAGGTTCAATCTGCAGCTCCACTGGTTCTCCTAGAACAGAATTAATGCAAACTATCTCCTTGTATGTTAGCATTTTTACCATATAATCTGCCAGAGTTTGTCCAGCTTCTTCATCTGAACACTGGAAAGGTTTTAGCTGTGGAAGAATAATGTAAGGTCCACCATACATTAATTCACAAGGTAAATACTGCAGGAACTGCATACATGTGCAGGAGTACTAATGGTAGACAATAAATCCTTTCCAATTCCCTCTATGGTTTTTCTTAGTTTTGCTTTAAGAATGCCATTATGTCTTGCCACTAACCCTGCAGGTTGTGGATGATAGGCACAGTGGTGTTTCAGGTCTGTGTGTAAAGTTTTGGGCTAACAATGTTATTACACTGTTTACAAAGTTCCATTGTCGTTGTATATTTTTTCAAGTATTCCATATCTGAGGATTATTTCCTTCACCAGTGCCCTTGCTACTGTGAGAGCATCAGGAGTAGCTGTGGGAAACACCTCAATCCATTTGGTAAACATGTCTATTATAACCAAACAGAATTTCTTTCCCTCACACTTATTTAACTCTACAGAGTCCATGCAGATGTGTTGAAATGGAAATTGTGGTTTTGGAAACTGACCTCTTTTAGTTCTCAAGTTTCCTCTTGCATTGTG